TCTCAAAATTCTGACTTTTTTCTCAGAATTCTGACTTTAATCTCAGAATTCTGAGAAAAAAGTCAGAATTCTGACTTTTTCCCCATGTTATACTGAAATAAAATAAAAAAAATCAGTTAACTTTTTTTTTTTTTCCAGTGGCCCTAATCCTGTTCCGTAGCATTGAGATAGGAGTTCATAGCATTAATATATATGATGCAAATATTAAGTATTTTTTCAACAGTTCAGCAGTCTGATGGCAATGGGGAAGAAACTGTTGCAGAATCTGCTGAACCTGAATCAAATGCTGAAGCCTCCTCTGAGGGCAGCAGGGAGAATAGTCCATGGTCGGGGTGTGAGGGGTCATAGTAGTATCACGCAAAGGATTGAGGGAAACCTTATACAGTTTACAGTTTTTGAAATTCCTGATTTATTTTCCTACCTCCTTCTTTACTGACAGCACTGATCATGACATTCATCTCTGGCCAGAGTCTCTATTAGTTTGATGTATTTTGATGCAGCCATCATGTTGTCAAGCAAGAAGGTGTGGGAATTATAATAAGGGAAAGATGTTGCTAAGCATCAAAGGAATTAAAATATTGATATAAAGAACTGTGCAGATATGATGATACATTGTATCAGAAAACTTCCATGTAAGGTCACATTTCTGCTGAATCACCAGCTGGATTCCATGGTTTATTATTAAAGGTTTTCAGTTTTGAAGCTTTTCTTTTAAAATGATTGCCAGAGGTGATCATAGCCATATTTCTTCTGCTTATTACGCTGGTAGGAACAGGAACAAAGGCTGATGTTTGAACCCGCGGGGTTTCTCCAAACTTCATTAGGTTTCTCCGGCTCTAATGAGCAGCGTCTGTGCGCTGCGCTCCCGTCAGCGATAGGCTCGCCCTGGTCACATGCGCGCGTCCTTACGCACCTCAGAGGAGTCGCTTTTCATCCAGCGAGCGATCAAACAGGAACCACAGGACCTCGGCTCCTTTGGGGATTTTTTGTTTGTTGTTTCTGATTTTTTTTTTGTGGCCGTTCCAGGCTTGGAGGGAAGAAGGAAGAACTGGGATTTTGTTTCCTTTTTGTTTTGGATTTTTGCTTCCCTCTTTGAGCTGAAGGGGAGGGTTTCAACTGGTGTTTAGACACGATGCTGTCAGGATTTGGAGCTGAGGGTTGGGTTTTCTCCACTTGAAGATCTCTCCTGATCTGGATGTAACAGCCTCAGTGAAAGTTTATTTTTGTGTAGGTTCCTTTGAGGATGAATAAATGGAAAGGATCAGGGTGAGGTGGTTAACAGTGAGGCCACCCGTGTTTCCTTTTCCATCCTCCAAACGCTGTCCTCTCTCCAATCTAAAACGCCAGGCAGTGGTTTTGGATGAAGCGTGCTTGAGGTGATGCGTCTCCCTTTCACTGCCACTGACACCTGCTTGGATTTCCCCTCTTGTCGGATCTGTACGTTTCCAGAATGGCTCGCTTCGCTGACGATCTACCCAGCCGCTATGGAGGGAGCACGGTCGGCGGAGGGAGAGGCGGACCGGGCGCCGGGAGAGGGGGCGCCCGGGGCGGCGGCGCAGGAGGCGCAGGCGGCGGCGGTGCCCAGAGGATGTACAAGCAGTCGATGGCTCAGAGAGCCCGAACCATGGCTATTTACAACCCGAACCCCGTCAAGCAGAACTGCTTCACTGTCAACCGATCCCTGTTCATCTTCCGAGAGGACAACCTCATCAGGAAGTATGCAAAGCGAATAACAGAGTGGCCATATCCTTCCTGAGCAGGTTGACAGTCACAGATTTCCTATTTAGACGCTTATTTATAGTTGGAGTTTGAACGACCACTTCCTTCTCCTCAGCCTCTGTTTTATATTCATTCCCTCTGGCTGCACCTGTCGCTCCTTATCTCTGTTTAACCTGACACAACAGTGTTTTGCTGAGCAGGTGAAAAGACCTCTTTATGTGTCCCTCTTTGCTTGATAAGTTCCCTTTGTCAGAATGTCACCTGCCAGGCTTCCCCGGCAGTTTTAGCTCACAATAATTTGATGATTCGACTGATTACGCGGCTTCGCGTTGGCAGGCAGGAGTAAAAGTCGGAGAAACAGCCTTTATCTGATCTCTCTTCATTCGTTTCTCCTCCAGGTATGTAGAAACGATGACAGGAAAGCGCAAAATGCATGTCAGTGACTTCAGCACCGCCCTAACCGAGTTGGCGTCCCTGTCCATGGTGCTGAACACGCCCACGCTGATGTTTATCCCTGTAAAAGATGTCCACAGAAAGCAGAACCTCCCCATGCTACCCATTAGCTTCTGAAACTAAGGAGGAGGAAAATATTGCAGGGAACTATCATTACACAGGGTTAAAAAGAGAAAAAACACCCGAACGGTTATTTTTAACAGCACTATTCTCAATAATAAAAGTTGCTTTTAAAGGAGAATTCCGGTTTTTAACACTTTTAGCCCATTTTCTGTAGTGTCCAGGATGAAATCGAATGATCGACACCAAAATTTTG